TATATATATATATATATATTACTTATTGAGCACACATGTTTCATTAATTAGTTCTTAATCTAGTAATCTTATAGTTTTATATCTCGGCGGATTAGCCGATGCGACAAGCTTTAATCTACATCAGTGCATACTAGTGAATTCGCTAATAATCCAACTTTTAGCAGTGCCCTTTTAGAAAGAGAGAAAATATGCAAGGAAAAATAAATATTGTATATCATTTATCTTTACATCTTTATCTTTCTATATCACTGATAATGTGTAAAAAGGAAATATTGTGGCGCAAATAAATTATTCTTGGACACATGTTTTATACATGCAGATTTTTCATTGCACAACACAATATGAATAAAGTATCTTATTATGATAATTACTTTTCTGTATTAAACAGTTCTAAATGCGTTTGTATCTACTGTATTTGTATCTTCTAATTACATAAAACACTTCTTTAATATGATTGATAATCATAAGTATAATTTTGTTAATTGTATACTTTTTAAATGTATTACACGAGAGAACGTTTTCTGTATATTTAGTTTTGTACATTGGTCTCGTCTGTATTCTATGGTACTTGATTCATAATGCATTTGTTACCCTACGTACTTCCTCTGCTAGAATAATTAGATTTCTTTGTCATATTCTCTTGAGGACACATAAAGAATGGTCGTTTCGTATCGTGTCTATCTCGGCTACACTTGTCAATTTTATACGCCCCCTCCCCCCACATACATACAACGTGTTGATTCTAAGAGAATTTAATGATCACACAAATCAGTCGCTTGTGTTTACATGCAGATTCATGATTGACGAATCAGATTATACGATTTAATAATAATAAATGCAAATTGTATGAGATCTGTAACGTAAATTACTTCTGATTGTTGATTGGAAAAGCGAATATTTGAAAAAATCTTACGAACAAAACGGATGATCTATTTCATTTCATGATTTTATTCATCCGTTTATTCCCAGAAAGGATCCTTTTTTATGTTCAAAGAATGATTGTTGCGCGTTAGCTCGTTTTTTCTCCGTACATATTGTACAGTGTGTGATGTTCCGAGCTAAAATACTTTTGTGTGAAATCGAAAATAATTTAAGGAATGATCAAGTGTAATGATATGCAAAGTTAGATATAATTAAGAAATATTAAGAAAGAAAGAGGACATAGAAGGAGGTGAGCTATTTTTTAAGAAATAATCAAGAGCTCTATTTAATGTACACGTAGCATATGCTAGTACCTCTGTGTTACCATAAGCAAAAAAGATTAAGAACCCACAATGTTCGTGGATCGCATTGTGTAATGACGATAATCACGCATAGTAATTTCTTTTCTATATGATGCAAGATTTATTAAGATTGATGCATAATCTATAAACTTAATTGTTGACACAATAATGTACAAACATATTCGTAAAAATAAAAGGGTTCTTTTATTTATATTTGGCTTATTTGGCTTTTATCTATATTTTTACACTTATAGATGTGTAACTTATATTACTGTTTTTTTTTTTTTAGCAGTCTGGTGTAGCATAAGTTTATATTAAAATTATTAAATTTACAAAAATATTAAAAAAAATAGATAAGCAAAAATAAGACATGACAGACTCGTGTAAGGAAACTTTTCATATTAAGTATATTTTTGTTCGTCAGAATACAATAGTCTGTACATGCACTATATGTATAGAAGCTGTCATCGCAACATCGTATTTTTTCAAGTATTTTTTTTTTATTATATCTAAATGTATTATAATAGTGTTAATTATATGTATAAGCAAACTCAGGAAACAAGTTATTACATAGCTACTGTTATGAATGATTGAGCTAAAAAATGTTGCTAACGTATTGCATTGATATATGCATATATGACAATCCAACGATTAATCGTGATGTGCAAAAACAAAATCGCTTAATATAAAATATTAAAAAGTTGCGCTTCTTCACGATTAAAATGATTCAATAAACGTAAGACGAAAGTTACTTCAGATCTGAGAAAAATAATTTTGTCACTCTTTAGTGAGAAAATACAATGATTCCTTTATTGTGATACAACATATTATATTTCGGTCTTGTTTAATCTTGCCTAATATAAATGAATAAAATTATACATAATAAAAAAAATCTTTTGTTTGTTCGTGCAATTACAAACTGTATAATATCTATATATTATACAATTGTATGAAACATTTAATAACTTAATTTATACGCATCCTAACTTGTGATTTCATTAAAGATATTTGATTAAGAATTGTGTGTTGCATAAGTTGCAACTTTCTAAGTTATCAATGTCATTATTATTTATAATGCTATTATAGCTGAAAAAGATTTATTCATCTATACATAGATGAATGTTATTCTTATAACAATATGTACACTATTTAATATATGAATGCATGAGTAGATAAAAGCAAACAGAAATATATGTATGT